TTAAAAAAACGCGAACAAGTTTTATCTACTATTTTTTAAGAAATATTTTAGGTATCTAACACATAAGACAAAATCTTGCATATATTCTTTGTTTACTTGATCAAATGTGTCATATAGACTGTCTGTAAGAAAAGTTATGACAAAAAGAAAGAAAAGAAAGTCACCACGTCAGCCAAGAGAAAAGATATGGCACAATGATATGACAAAGGATAGACATAACGCAGTAGTAGTAAATGTTCACATTCACACATATACCGAAACATCTTTCATTATTTGCCAGATTTTTGAATTCTTTAAGTTTTTTTCTCATACTCAATGGATCGACAGCTTCAGAGACGCACTTTGAGAAAATTAAAATTTTTCCAGTTAAGTTGTCAAATAAGTATTTTTATTGTGATATCTATTGTTCATCTTATGAGACTTGTCGAGATTATACAATTGCGTCAGTTATTAGTGCTTCTAGCTCAATCATCAGAACTCGCACAAATGATTCCATGTCTAAGACGTTTCACTATATATCATCTCACAATGCCGCGTGATCATTATGAAAGAACACAGTTGATCGATCTTTATGCTGAACTTGCTGTTACAGCAAGGCGTTTTTGTGACTTAACAGGCATAACAACAGCAGCGTTTAATGATCTTTATCATAAATTTCTCATTCAAACAACATCAAAACTGGTTTTATTAAAACAAAGATTACACTCTGGACGTTTAGATGCTAATATTCTATTACTATTACTAATTTGGTTGAGAAAATATCCAGGGAATAGTTTTCTTAGCCTAATGTTTCGCGTTTCTACTTCAAAAATATCTTATAATCTAAGATTTTCGTTACCTGTCTTAACCAAAACCATTCGCAGCATGATTATATGGCCATCACAGAACGAGATGAGAAATCTAGTAGTGTTCCATCCTATTTTAGGACGATATGTCGGCTCTATAGACGGTACCCGACACAGAATTAATCGCCCGCGTATGTGTTTGAACAAAACTAAGTAGGATTGCTGTAGAAACTTAAAACAGTCCTTCTTTTTTTCTTTAGAAAGACATCAAAGAGTTTATTATAGTGGTAAAAATAAAACACATTGTTTAGCATCGATTTATATAATTTCTACTAATCGTCGTTTAATCTTTTTTAAATCATGTTTTCTTGGCTCCGTACACGATAGTAGGATGCTCATATCTTGTGCTATCGGTCCAAATCAACCCTGCTCGATTCCTCCACACACAAAAATCTTGGCAGACAAAGGTTTTGCAAACGGCGGTATTTTATTAACACCTGTGCGTCGGAATGAACTCAGACATTTCCCACAAGCATCAAAAGAGCTTTTTAATTATCATTTATCTAGTAAACGAATTTTTATCGAACATATAACCAAAGAAATGAAAGTTTTTGATATCGTTCATGTTGTGTATAAACACAGTCATGCCTTATGGCAAGCGGTCAGTCTTTGTACAGCCTACTTAGCTAATGTAAGGGCAAATCTCTTCTTTACTTAAGTTTTCAAATTACGCTTAAAACTGTTGTGTTTATTGTTATTCGTGAATAAATAGACTATAAAAGCATTTGTAAATTTAAAGAGAGAGCAAAGAATAGAATTATTTCCTCTGAACGCGTCGATAGAAAAGAACAAGAACAGAACGAAACAAACATTTGACACATTCGTTTACGAATATACTGCATGTGCGAGAAAAGATATCTCCTTATTTGCTAGTG